AAAAAAAAAAAAAAAGATGTGAGGGTGGTAATGTGTGGGCCAGAAAGCATGTGATTTATGATCCAGGTGCACTGATCTGTGCTGATGCAGCCCACTATTTAATGTTCTCATTACATTTACCATGCTGGGTAGATTTGTGCTCTGGGCTGTACTGGGAGTTAGCTGAGCCTGGGGGCACCAGATCTTTCCCATGTTGCAGGCTGAGGGGTCCGTGTCCCTTTCCACATCCCTCCTTCCCATGTACATGGGCTTCACTCACTCTGTAGTGGGTGTATTTTAATTCCCCCAACGTAGAATTCATAGGTTCTGGAAATAGGGCCATGAATTGATGTTTTCATGAGGAGAACCTACGTAATGTGGAAGATGTAGAAGCAACAAAATTTTTGAAATGCTCGATACTCCTGACATACTTAGAATGATGTAAAAGCAACTCAGAATTAGATTCCCTTTTACAAAACCACTGACGATTTCAATCTGAAGGCATAAAGTAGGAAGCAAAGTACGATGGCACTTTCGGGTAAGAAAAACCAGGTGAGGCACACTTGGGCTTTGAGTTGAAATAGTCGTGTCCAAATGGCTTGTCTTTCTGGCACTAAACACATGCGCTGGCAGTTAATAACAGTAAACACATGGCGCTCACTACGGGCCAGGCACTGTTCTAAGTGCCTTCTGTATTCCCACTCTGTTCATGTCAAAACAGCCCTGAGTGAGTTGTCACCTCTATTTCATAGATGAGGACACTAAGACACAGCAGGTGCTCAAGTAAATATTTTGTGACTGAAACAAATAAACCAAACTATCACCAGTCACTTTGTTTTCTCTCTGCTCTTAATAACGACTCGCTCTTTCCCACTCTTCAATGTCTTTTACAGTTAGTATTATAAATTTGTTCTTCAAAACCAGCAGAATCATGTCTACCAAGATTGAGAGGAACAGAACACTCTGGTTAATGTAATTATAGTCTAAATTAAATCATTAGATCAGAAATGGTTTGGACTTGTGGACAATCTCTGCAGACCATGACTCCAGAATCCATCTGTCCTACCAGGATTCTCTGCTTGTGCCAAAATATAAATGAGGAAATATGGATGTTATCTTTTTCCTGCAAGAGCATGGATGGATCATGAGTTCATGACTAAAACAAATATGTATTAAGGTCAAATAATACGATATTGCTGCTTCTGCAGGTCAAAAACTGTCAAATATCAGTAATTTTATATGGGCCAACTTTATCGATTCTGTCATATATTAATGCAGTCACTACAAAGTTGAACTTTCTAGGTGAATGGTGAAGGAGATGGGACTAGTTCCTGGAAATTAACTAGGATGGTATTGTTTAGGGTACACTTCAGTTCCCACAGTAAATTGTGGCGAATTTTAATACATTCTCCCTTATATATTCTATTCATTTAACTTTTTCTTTTCTATATTCTTGTTTGTATATTGTTTGCATATTTTGTGTATTGTTTGTATATTTTGTATATCCCTGTTTGTATATCCTTGAGTGTATATTTTGTATATCCTTGTTTGTATATCGTTGTTTGTTTATTGACTTTAAGATTCTGTAGGTAGGGGATATTCATCATACACACTCCAAGGGGTCTTTGAAGTATTGCTCATTCAAATAGAATGTTTGATATTACAAATATAGTGACATAGTGCTTCACCTGCTAAACACATTCCAGTTTACAGACAGTGTAAATATCTTTTTAAAGATATATTTCCAGAGGTACCTGGGTGGCTCAGTCGGTTAAGCGTCTGCCTTCAGCTCAGGTCATGATCCCAGGGTCCTGGGATCGAGTTCCGCATCGGGCTCCTGCTCGGCGGGGAGTCTGATTCTCCCTCTCCCTCTGCTGCTTGCTGTGCTTGTGCTCTCTTGCACTGACTCTCTCTCTCTCTCTCTCTCAAATAATTAAATAAAATCTTAACAAAAAATAAAGATACATTTCCAGAAATAAATGTACTATGTAGCACAAAAGATGGCATTTTCTTTCAGGTTAGTTCCCTACTAAAAGTGCCTACTAAGTTATTGAGAGGACATTTTCTGACTACAAAATAATAATAACATTTATGTTAACACTCCAGAAGTTCTCATAATTCCCATATTAATATGGCCACTTTAAGTAGCCAAAAATGTGTAATATCAAGATCTGTGCCTGATTTATTCATTCTGAACTTGGATTATTGTGTTTGAATAGTGGGTTGGGTTTAAATGTCACCAACTTACCACTAATTTAGTGGTATTTGTATGTTTTAAGTATCTCATCGCTCTGACAATCAACCAAATTCTAAACAAAGGAGTATTTATAAAATGAATGGTCTTCATGAAATATTTTTTTACAGTGCTATACACTTGGTAAGTGCCCAGAAAATAAATGCAGAAGTAGGTTTGTTTGAAAATAATCAACCAAGAGGTCATACACGCTCACCTGAGTAAATTCTTCATCCAATTTGGCAAACCTTTTTGAATGCCTACAAAACAGTGGGTCAGCCTCTGCATTCCAGGTGCCCATCATCATCGTGAGAGACACACATGCATAAACCAACCCCCCATATAAGGCAGAATGAAACAAGTAGTGTTATGAGAATAGAGAAGAAATAAGTAATTCTCATGGACACAGAAAATCTGAGTAAACTTTTTTCATCCCACGTCCTTTATTTTTTGGTCACTCCTATGTTTGAACTCATGTGCCTTTTAACAGCAGGGGTATGGCAAAGGGAAGTTCAGGGGTTAGTCCTCCATTTGCACATATAATCCCCATTCCTCCATGAATTTCATGAGATAGGCTTCGTTTCCTTCCGATGGCTCATCTGGAACCTGCTCTTCATAGAGTTTAGACAAGAGGCCTTCCTCCGTGAGCTCCTTGTACTCAGGCTGCTCACATCCCTCTGAGTCATGTTCAAAGCTAGGGAATGACGGTATGCACAGCCTGCCGGTCCGAGGGTCCCAATCCACCAGTGTGGTCGATGACTCTTCGTCTGGTTCCTCTGCTGTGTCCACGTGCTCCTGCAGCAGCTGGTCCAAGTCTCGCAGCTGAGGGGCATAGGAATGCAGTGGTGTTTGGGAGCCCAGGTCTGCCAAAGCTGCCTGTTGCTTAAAGAACTGTCCTTGGAGGGACGCCTGCTCCTGCAGATTGAGCTCTTGATCTCCAGGCCCCACACAGACGTCAGCAGTTCTTACAGCATATTCGTATTCAACGACAGCTTTATCTGTGGGCATTGTTCTGCCCCTTGACTCTTGCTGGGTTAGGGACATACCCTTGGTGCTTTCCTCAGAGTCACAGAAAATGTCCATCAAATGTAAAGCATACCCTAAGTGTTTCACCTCCATTTCCTCCTGATGTGGCTCCTGGTCCTTGAGGGGCTCATTCAGGTCCCATACATGGTTGCTTTTTTCCCCTACACTTACATCCTTATGAGAAGTGTTAGAATCCTCCAAAATATTAAGGGTGATAAAATTAAGCACAATTTTTTCAGCAGGTACAAAGAATCTTTTGTCAAATTCATTTCCATAAATCAAAATCTATAAAGAGAGAAGAGAATGGTTTTCACCTTTTCACTTGAGAGAGACAAGAAAAACAGCTGTTAAGTAGAACTTACACTGTCATCACCTAGTTCTAAAGACCTATTCTTACCAACTCATGGAAGTGACAGTTATTCTTGGAATAAACAGAAAATCTCATTCACCTGGGGGCAAGAGACCCAAGACACACACACACACACACACACACACACAAAGGCTTATGGAAGTGAATAGTGGTCCCTGAGGGGTGTGTATCCTGTCCAAGGATCAGGGTAGACTACCCCCTCCCTGGCCCATGGAATGCAGGGCAGTTTTTTAATTTCTTGAGCCTCAGTTTTTAATTGTGTAAAATTAGAATTTCTGCCACGTGAGAAGTGGCGAGGGCTGAGTGAGACAGTTTGGAAATTGCTTTGTTAATTATTGTTGACTACGTATTTGTCAACTAGCAGTGGTTACCTGGGTTCCCAGGCCTGGTTAGGACATACTCTGGACATGAAATGTGGATGGGCGTGAAAACTGGATGTAAAGAAGGAAAGAGGCACAGGAATAGGGATGGTTTCACTTACTTCCCCATATACCTTTCTAATCCCACTATAATGAGGCCAAAAAGGGAAATCCATCTGCCTGTTTATGGCTGGTAGAGAAACTCTAAATCATGTCAGGAAAACTGGTTTGAGATTAAAATGGTGCTGGGGATATGTGGAAGGTGTCTGTTGAGATGGCCAGTCATGACTTATGTTTGAATCCTCATTGTCCACCCCGTGATGTGATTTCATTTAATATTTACAAAATAGGCTTCATTCTTCAGCCTCATTCTTTTATAATATTTTGGTTTCAGAAAGTCTCATGTGCTCAATTCTCCTCTCAATGTTTCTCCCAGGAACGTCTCCCTGTGCCAGTAGGAAGCTCCCTCTAAAGTCTAAAAGGAGCGCTCCTGGGTGGCTCACTTGGTTAAGCATCTGCCTTCGGCTCAGGTCATGATCCCAGGGTTCTGGGATTGAGTCCCGCATCAGGCTCCCTGCTCAGTGGGGAGCGGGCTTCTCCCTCTCCTCCCTGCTCGTACTCTCTCTTGCTATCTCTGTCGCTACCTCTCTCTCAAATAAATAAATAAAAATCTTAAAAAAAAATAAAGTCTAAAAGGAGGCAGAATAAGAGAAACATTTAAAACCGAACTAACAGGAATACATGCATGCATCATGTTTATGTGAACATGTTTTAATAATTTGCAAATAAATCATTCTTATTGTTAAAATATGCCCAGCCTTTCTAAACCCTCCAGAAGCATATTTATTCCTTCTTAATATTTTCCTGCTCTCCTTGCTGTGAATACTTGTCCTGTCCATTTTCCTCCTAAAAGTGCTCCCATTCCATGCCTGTCTCAAGCTCTACATCCCACTCTCCTCTTTTAGATTCTCCCCTTCTTTCCCTGGATAACCGCCACAGTCTCCTAGCTCCTTTTATTGCTTCTAGTCTTACTCCCTCCAACATTGTCTTAGACCCACTATCCAACTGGACCTAAAACACGATATTGACCTTGACGCTGCCTACTCAAAACCCTACAGAGATTTCTCTTTACCAAGAAAATATAAAGCCCAAACTCCTTAGACTAACACCCGATTCTCCCATTACCTGGCCCTAACAGCCGCTCTCCGGTCTTACTTCTGTAGCTCCTCATCAACAACCTATGATCCAGCAATATCATGTGGTTTTCCAAACATCTATGCACCTTGGTCCCTGCTGGGTTTTCTGCCAGCAGTAGGTGCTCTACTTCTTTCTCCCCTTTCTTAAGCGAGGCCAGACGTAAAACTTCTCCTGGCCCCCTACTCGGGGTTTCCATGTTCTCCCTGTAACTCCCTGTACCTCCACAGTCCTCGCTGCTTGCTTTCATCATAGCCTTCATGTATCATTTTGAAATTCTTGTACCCAACTTAACTTGAACATCTGGAAGAGCATGGATCCCGACTTAAATTTATTTGTGTACCTCAAGACCTAGTCTAATCTGCTCATGACACGTGAAATCTTTTCAAAGCTGAGGATTCTTTCTCTTCGGTTATGTTACTGAGAGAATCTAGTAACAGAAGTGTTTTCTAATTCATCCACTCTTTAAACCCACGCTGCCTGTACAAGGGACCTGTGTCTGAGCTTCCTTTTGTACTGGCCTGGAAGGGAGGGTTTATAATGATTCCTGCCACACTAAACACTCACCAAATTTGCTGGGTGTTTCTCTTTGCCAACATGGATATATCTGTACATGGAGTAGCCCATCACAGAAAAAAGAAACACGGTAACAGATATGGGCAAAACATACCAGAAGATGATTTTAACCTTCAATGCTGATGTTTGGTCTGTAAAAAAAAAAGGACAGCGAAAGAGAGTTTTTGATTCGGTGTGGTGGGAAAACATTGGCAATGTCAGGCGGCTTTGGGCTGATCACTTACAATTAGGAGCTCAGTTTTTCATTTATAAATTGAGAAGCTTGAAGGAAAAGTGATACAGGGTCTCAGAATTCTTATTCTCTGATAAGAGCTGGTCTTCGGGACTCATCTGGACTTGTTGCAAACCTTACAGTGTAGATGCATCAACAACCCAATCAGCAGATATTCCAACATTTTATGTCTGGCTGTGAGATTCATTCAGGTTCTTATATTTGAAGCTAAGTGTGTCTACTATTCCAGCAACGTATACACTTTAAACCAAGCAAAAAAAAAAAGCCCTGTTGCTACGATCCTATTAAGCTGCCCTGACTTTTCCATACACTCATTTGACTCAACCATTTCCAAATATTCAGTAGAAGTCGGGAATGTGTGGCGTCACCTTCTTGGTGGCTGACAGAACCATCTCTGAGTGGGTCGGCTAGACTTTCTGGGTAGGCCTGGAGCTTGGGATGTGTGTAGGGAGGTCGCTGAGCTGGTGTGTGCTGAGATCGGCAGTGACTTCCTTCCAGGTGCTGCTGTGCTGTAGGTTCGTGACAAGTAAAAGTCCACAGAGGAATGAAAAGACCTGGTGAACAGCTCTTAAGAAAGCAGTGCTGGCCCGCCATTGATCAGACTATACAGTTGTGAATAGGACTCAATGTGACTGATTTCTATTTGTTGGGCTCCTATAGGATCCTGGAAGTTGTGATAGTTAATTATCTGTGCCAATTTGGCTAGGCCATGGTACCCAGATATTGGGTGAAACATGATTCTAGATGTTTCTGAGAAGGCATTTTTAGATGAGATTAGCATTTATTTATTATTTTTTTAAAGATTTTATTTATTCATTTGAGACACAGAGATACAGAGAGAGAGAGAGAGAGACAGCATGAGCAGGGAGAGAGGCAGAGGGAGAAGGAGAAGCAGGCTCCCCGCTGAGCCAGGAGCCTGATGTGGGGCTCGATCCCAGGACTCTGGGATCATGACCTGAGCCGAAGGCAGATGCTTAACCATCTGAGCCACCCAGGCGCCCCGAGATTAGCATTTAAATGAGTAGACTTGAGTAAAGCAGATTACTTTTTATAATATGGATTGCTTCACCCAATCAGTTGAAGGCTTTAGTAGAAAAAATGGTGACCACCTCGAGAAAGAGAGAATTCTGCCAGCAGACTACCTTCAGACAAGAACTGTAACTCTTCCTTGGATATCCAGCTTACTGGACTGTCCAATATTTTGAGCTCATCAGCCTCCAGTCATGTGAGCCATCTCCTTAAAATAAATCTCTCTGTCTCTCTCCATATATATATGTTGGTTCTGTTCTCTGGAGAATATTGACTAATGCAGCAGTAGAAAAAGGAAGAGCTTTAGCACACATGGCAAAAGTTCTAGCATATTCTTTACATACTGATGAATCCAGTGAGAGTGTCATGGGAGCTCTTTCATCTGTACAGTTGTTTGGATACTCTTGATGCCTAGGCCCGAGACAAAGCAATAAAGTCACTCTCCAGATAACTATCTAGTGAAAGAGTGGAAGTGTCATGGACAATGAGGGAGGTCAACAAGAGCCAGGGGGAGAAGTCTAGGTATGGGGGGCCAAGTGCAGCCTCTTGCACTCAAAGAGCTCCTGAGGAGCACATCTGTCACCAGGTTCCACAAGGAAGGGTGTAACAACAGTGCAGCTGGCGCAGCTGGCTGAGCATTCCCTACCCCGTGAGTAGGCCACGATTCAGCCTAGTCCTCTGAATGCAATCTCTGGTCTCTGGACCGAGCTTGCCCTAATTAAAACATGCCATGATAACAATGACCGATGGCACTCAGTATACAGCAGGACATGTTTGCCACAATAAACTTAATAAACTGCAGTTATATTTTAGGGATGGGGGACTGTGGAGAGCAGAAGTATTTTTCAAAGAGGGTCCCAAAAGAGGTAGTCCAGCTGGGATATCACGGAAAACGGCAGACCCCGAAAAGATACTTCCTTATTTTGTCACCTGTCCTAGACTAGTGAGAAAGTTGGCTGCATCTCTTACCGGGAAGTATTTAATGGAATCTGTACTTGAGTTGCTTTAAATCTGCCAATTGCTTAAATGATCTCCACTGGAAATCCATTCCTACCACTTGGCCGCTGATCAAGCTGTTAGTAAACAGAGCACTTTTTCCAAATACAGAAACGATTTCTTCAATCTGCTTTGTTTTGCCTTTTGCTTGCTCTGCATTTCAGTTTTATTTGACATATGGCAGAGAATCCTTCGTTTTAGGGGAAGGTATAAAAGGACAGAGTTTGAAAAATACAGCTTTTCACTTTCAAATATCACAATATCCCCTTTAGATTCCTTAGGACAGTTTCATCTTGTGCTGTGTGAGGGAAGAAGAGAGCAGGGCTCCTGTCACCATGGCCATCCCATAGCTGGCGATGGAACTGGGCTGGGGGAAAAGGGGTGACAAATTTCCTAGGCCAGTGTGTTTGGAAGAGGGAGATGGAAGAGTAATAGATGAGGGGCCATTTGAGGAAGGCCAACTTTAGGGTTAATTTTTAATGTTCAGGTTTTGAGTTCAAGGTCCTCTGACCCTTGGGGAAACACAAATGAGCAAATGCCAAGCTCCTAACCCTATGTCTCCGAACAGGAGTGAGAATCTTCAGCCAAGTTCAGGAAACATGAGAAGAAGACAAAAGGAAGGAGAGAGAAGCAATGTAAGTAACTGTGGATTCGCTGATCCCAGACGTTCGTGTAGCCAGTGACTGATATCTGAGTGCAACTTGCAGAGCCTGTAATTTTATTCTTGAGGGTGAGCAAAGGCTGCTGTCTTCAAGTGTTTTTAGGAAAATGTTTTGTTTCTAGCACTAACATTTGATGTTCTTGATGTTCTTGAAGACCACAGAACTTCTCTTCATGAAAGGGACTACAATTAAAAAATAAAAAGATGTGTGTAAAAATTCTTAATTGTTTCTTCCCATGGAAGAGGCCTGTTAGCAGCAGATATCAGGATAGGTGCTGAGAGTTCCCCGGGAGGATGCAAACGTACTCTAATCCTGGCCAAGTTCAATGGCAGAGTCCCAGGCTGCTCAATGCATTTCTGGTGATGGTTGTTTCTACCTTTGTCTCAACCTGTTTCTGGTAGACATGGATTTATTCAAACCTTGTTTATTTATGTTTTAAAATTAATTTATTATTTATTTATTTATTTTATTATGTTATGTTAGTCACCATACAGTACATCATTAGTTTCTGATGGGTGTTCCATGATTCACTGTTTGCGTATAACACCCAGTGCTCCATGCAGTATGGGCCCTCCTTAATACCCATCACTGGGCTAACCCATCCACCCCACCCTGTCTCCTCTAAAACCCTCAGTTTGTTTCCCAGAGTCCATAGTCTCTCATGGTTCGTCTCCCCCTCTGACTCCCTCCCCCCCTTCATTTTTCCCTTCCTTCTCCTAATGTCCTCCATGCTATTCCTTATGTTCCACATATAAGTGAAACGATATAATTGACTTTCTCTGCTTGACTTATTTCACTTAGCATAACCCTCTCCAGTTCCATCCATGTCGATGCAAAACCTTGTTTATACCTGCCACACTTCTCCTAGTTTCTTCAGAGTTCCTTCCTCAGACCAGTTGAAACTTTTTAAGCTTACCTTTCAAAGTCCGGACACACTGCTTCTCAGAAGGCTGAGCAAGGCGAGGAGACCCTGGGATGAGGGACAGCACGTGGATGCAGTACAGAGTGTCTGGCTCCAGCCAGCCCAGCACCAGCGTGTGGTTGGTCACACACTGGGACCACTAGGGTGGGGGATGGCAAACAGCAGTTAGAGTCAAAGAATTCCAGCACCACCCCAGACAGATAGCTCTAGGAGGAAGTAAAACACTGAGATACCAGTAAATCCTTCATTATTACTACAAGCTTTTTTTTTTTTTTTTTAATACCCTCTTCCTTTAGCTCAGCAGAGCATGGTCAGGAAATGGAACCATTCTGGGAACAAGTCTAAATAACAACATAAGGACAGATTTCTTGCTCAGCCTCGCCCTGTGTCCTTGCTGACATTTTTTTCTCTCTTGCAGAGTGACTGACAGATGTTATGCAAGTCGAAGCTCTCCATCAAAGTGAGGTGGACAATGGTTCTACACCCAATAGCAACATCAGACCCCACTGACAAAGAGTGTCTGTAAGGGAAATCCGAAGGATGTTGTTGAGAGATCTACGTATCAGCTTCCACTGTATCTTGTCTAACATGTCTTTGAATATCACATCTTTCCAGATTCCCCTGCATCTGGGCTGCAGAAAGAGACACAGATTATAGGCCCCCTTCCATTCCAGGCTTACCGTTTTATTAGATTTAGTATTATATATGGACACATTGTACTTCAGATTAGAGTATATCTGTTGCATGGAAAGAGAACGGTCTTCTGGGTTTCTCTTCCACTTCTCTGGAGCCGTCAGAACAATGGAAATGGATTTCTCATCTGTCGTCAAAGCAATCCCTGGTGGGCCAATTTGTGCTTAAAAGGGAGGGGAGAGGGAGTTATCATGTTTGGATGTAAAAATCACCATGGATAAAACTACAATATAATCCTACTGGGATCAAAGCCCTAAAGCACCCCCCCCACCCCCTTAGTTGAGATGACTCAGATTGCTCTAAGGTTAGCCCAAGTCATGCCACATCTTGAAACACTTATTTCACACTCCCTTACACATTATGAAAACAGAAAGTTCAAGTGTTGTATTTACCTAGTGCTTAATCCCATGGATAAACAGATCGTAAATACAACTAAAAGTGTTTACAACACTCCTGTGACTTGAATAGTTAGTGATAAATAAAATTAATATGATTTGATATGTGGTGGAAATCAGCCATGGAGGAATGAAGCACTGTTAAATAACTTTGAAGATGTGAGTAGAATGATCTAGAACAGAGGTTCACAAACTTTTACCATAAAGGTCCAGCCAGGAAGTATTTTAGGCTTTACAGCCCATATGATCTCTGCTGCAACTCTTATTCATATAAATGTAAAATCATTCTTAGCTCTTGGCCTGTAGAAAAATGGAAAGGGGGCCAAGCTGCATTTGGTCTGAGCACATAATTTGATGACATCTGACCTAGAAGGGCACCAGAGGATAGGTTCTGCCTCTAGGACCGGAGAAATACTTGTAAACTTCATTATGGCAGCTCTGAACGGATCTTCTACAGCTGAGTCAGCCACAGAACAAGAGATGGAAAAATTTAAAAAGCAAACATCAAGAAGATGTTGCCTGAACTCTGAGTTACACTTAGAAATACATCATCACACTACCAAGTTCAGAACAAGAAGACACTGAGTTTGGCAATGAGCAAGACTGCTCATGGTAAAGATGAAACTCTGAGACCCAGCGAGGTGGAGCACCGTGGGCTGGCCACTTGAGCAGCTGAGGGACAGAGTGCAGAACAGAGCCCCCAGAGCACGGGTCTCTCGGGAAGGTGAGGCCGAGATGGTACACTCGATTGTCAGGGGAACTTGATATTATCTGTGTTTACAGACAACTGTGTTACTTACTTTCTAAGAATGGATAGAATCGTCCAGTTTCTGCCCATTTGGAACAATTCGTTTCCCAAATGGCCTTCACTTTGGCATAATATTGATGTTCGTAATCAGAAGTTTCCACAGAGAGATCACAGCAGGTCTTATTGATATTTCTGCATTCTGATTTATTCAGCCACTTCTTTTGCCCATATCTGCTGAGAAAGAAACTGAATTAATAATGATGTACCCTCTGTGCTTTCCAATAGGAAAAAAAGTCATTACAGAAAACTCAATGGAAGCTCAGACCTTCACTTCAGAACAACAAAAGTGCCTGTCATTGAGATAAAAAAGAATCCACATTTGCTGCTGGCAATTTTTTTCATTACCTCAGGAGCATGAGTCTGAGTTTCTGCAATCACCTCTCCTTTCTGTGAATTATATGTGGATAGTACATTTTGAAAGCATGTTTTTTTTTAATTATTATTCTTGAGCTACAGTAAAAATGTTACAAAACATGTGATCAATTCTTCTAGTAATTATGTAAGATTTTAGTCTACTATGCCTATGAAGGTCAATTTGATGGGCTATTTTAAGAAATATTAGTCATTTTTTTCTCGGAAGAAAAATTACCTTGACATTCTCATAAAATTTAAAAATCTTCTTGCCATGAAGGGTCTAGGGAAAATTCACAAGTTGGAGTGCATGCCACAGTAATTATAGTGATGGTGATGATAGTGACTAGGTTGTTGATACTGATTTCTCCTTTCCTTTATTAAAGACACAACACCCATAGCAGGTGGGGGGAGGAATATTTTTAACACTTTTCAGGTGGGAGAGACTGAGGTAGGGAGAGTTGAAGGGCCACAGGCTGAGCCAGTGAGAGAGACAGGGTTGCATGGGAGGCTAGGAAGGCATTAAAGCAGGCGTGGTGGGGTTTTAGAAAGCTAACTGGTGCAGCATGGAGAACATGGTGGGCTAGGAGTGGCAGCCTGGGGAGCACTTGAGGGGATACTGCAGTGGTCCAGCTGGAAGACGTCGGTGGCTTGGACAAGGATGGTGGCCGTGGAATAAATGACAGGACAAAAGGAAGAAATATTAGGGGAGACAGGACTTGGTGATTGAGTGGAGGTAAGAGATGAGGCAGATGAAGGTGTTCAGGATGATGTCTCTTTCTGTCTGGGACAGTGTAACATTCCCCAAAAGAAGGAATACCGAGGAATAGGTTTGGGAAATGGGGAGGAGGGGTGGGAGGAAGGAAAGATAACAAGTTCAGTTTTTCACGTGTTGAACCTCAGGTATGTGAAAAATATCCAGCTGTGGATGCCCAGTAGGCACTGGGGCTCAGGAGAGAGGGGTGAGTGGGAGGCAGTGATTTTGAAATCAAGGGCACAGAACTGTTCATTTAAAGCATAGGTGTGAATGGAATTATCATGAAGCCAAAGCAAAGCCTAGGGTAAAATTCCAGGATCATCAAGATTTAAAAGTTGGTATAAAGTACAGTTAGGAATAGCAGCTAAAGGGGCACCCGGGGGGGCTCAGTCAGTTGAGCGTCTGACTCTTGGTCTCAGCTTAGGTCTTGATCTCAGGGTTGTGAGTTCAAGCCCTGCACTGGGCTCCTCACTAGGAATGGAGCCTACCTAAAAAAGAAAAAAGAAAAGAAAAGAAACAGCAGCTAGACTGGGAGAAGGAGAAACAGGCATCATATAAGTCAAGGCAAGAGCATGTCTTGAGAATGAGGAAATGTGGACTTTATCAAGTATTCTCAAAGCTTAAGGGTATCTCCTCTTTTCAGAATATGGCAACAGATTTCTGAAAGCTAATGTCGCCTGTTTCATAAGAACCATACCTGCCAGAAGACGTTAGAAATACAATTAAGATCTTGTTGACCAACTTCTCCATCAAGTGGTCACCACTGCCTAAGAGCTTTCATACTTTTTTTGTCTGTGAGCCACAAGAAGAAACCCATTTTACATTGTGACCCAGCTCACAGAAACATACATATATTTAACATATTAAAACAAAGGTTTCATAAGATGCGTTTTAAACTTTAGTACACACCATCAATTCAGTTATTTTCCATTCCAATCCACTTCACACCATTCCAGTCCTTTGCATTAAAAATAATGCTAGCTATGTCTCTCAAAATTGATTTCATGGTCCATCAACCGGTCTTGACTTATGGTTTGGAAAATACTGCCATCACCCATTTGATCCCCTTTCCTCCACCTCCCTCACTCCTGCCAAGGGCAGGACAGCTTCCCATGACAGAGGTTGATGGAGGAAAAAATACTTTCCCAGATTCTGAACCACTTTTCCAAAGCTTGTGACAAATCTTGTGGTTTCAGTATTGCACTATATATTTTCTGCACTAAATTCTTTTGGCAGGTAGAATTTAAGCTGTTGTTAAAATTTCATCTTTCACTTGGAAACAAACTTTACTCCAAAGTGTAAAAACATACTATGTAAGTTGCCCAAGGTTACCTGGCTAGGTTCACAGGCTGGCTGCAAACCAAGGACTGTTTGGCCTTGGAGCTGAGCTTGGAGCCCTGTCAGTGACAAACACAGCTCCGTATTTCCGTCCATCTTGGACATGCACAAGCATGTAAGACTTCCGACGTGCCAAGTTTCTTTATTCATTTTGGAAATTTGTACCATATAAATTATTTGCTCTCACAGAGCTGTGATGACTGTACTTTTTTGTTATCCTTTTCAGAATCAAATAAACATGTAGAGGACACTGCAAGCTCTTTGCTTCACCTAATGGGAAAGGAGGCCAAGGCATATTCAAGAGCCATTTTTCTTTGCAGAGTGATGTCTTCTTTCTTAAAACACCAGCTTCCAGAAAAACTCCTCGAAAATGAAAATGAGGTTCTAGATAAATGAAGTCACTGTAAATAGCCGCTGAAGTATTTCACTGCCTTTAGTGGTCAGAATATTTTCTTCAGAGAGAAAAATGACTTTGTCCTTTTTGTTGTTGTTGTTAATAGGGTACTTTTTTTTTTTTTTAACTTCAACAATCAGAAACGTGTAATCAGCAGAGAAAGAAATCACTCTAAAACCTATTACCTGAAACACTTGGCATACATGATTTTGGACATCTCATTATGCTTCTCTGTTCACACAGGAATGGTTAGATGGCTGCATACACAGACAATAACTAGATTATACCATACATATGGTTTTAATCAAAGTTGCAAATTTAGCCTGATTTGAACTTTATTTAAGATTTTATTTATTTATTTATTTATTTATTTATTTATTTATTTATTTATTTATTTAGTGCGAGTGGGGAGAGAGAGAATCCCAAGCAGACTCCACGCTGAGCTCGGAACCCAACCCCAGGCTCAATCTCAAGACCCGGAGATCATGACCTGGGCCAAAATCAAGAGTCAGATGCCTGACCGACTCAACCACTCAGCCATCCCCTGATTTGAACTTTAATAGAAAAAGAAATTGAAATGAAATTAAAGGAATTGTTGTAGTTCAAGTGTTTCATCACCACAAGAGATATTAGTTCCTAAAAGATCTTTTAAAGTAAGAAAATGGTTTATGAAAAATATTGAATGTTTGGTTATCAAGATGATGAAATATTTTCACTTTAGATCACATTTAATGGCTTCTTGCTAGGAAACTTGGTATACTTATACACTTTCCCCACCTTTTAATTTGTTATATTATTGTTTAGGTTTCAAACATTTATAAGAAAGTTTGATAACCACATTTCCCATCACTATTTAGTCTCAGTTCTTCACTTAGATGGTCTCAATGCATACACCAGTCTTTTCACAATGACAAATAATCTCGTCAGTACTAAGCTCTTCCTTCAGGTTCATCTTTACCTCTGTCAGCCAGATATCATCTTTAGTTAGTGATTTTCTCCCCATCAAGTAGATCTCAGGGGAGGGCTCTCCTGACATCTCACTTGCTTGAAAATACATCTGTTGAACTTATTAAGAATCCTAGATCACACCTATTTTTCCCTCAGAGGATGTATCACTGTCTTCTGTTGCGTGTTGCCACACAGAAATCATCCCCCTCCCTCTGCCCTCCTTGAGCCCTGCTCTTGCTATGACAGTCACAAAGTACCTTATCTTCTCAAAGTTCAGTAAACTCACCAGGATAGGTCTTCCTACTGTTTTTATTACATTTTCCCAGACTGAGCATGCACCTGTGATGTGCAGCTCCAGAGAGTCATTACCACTTGCTCAAGTACTATCAGTTAGCCATAGGGTTTTCCTCTCATATAACATTTTTATTTTCCATCTCTTCCCTAAGTCTGCCCACTTGCTTAAAAATTCTTACCCTTGTCTTAGAATTTTTTCTTTAAATGCCTGCTTGTTTGCTTTCTCTCTCCCCTGCCTCCCTTCCTTCCTCCCTTCTTTCCTTCCTTCCTTCTTCCTTCCTTTCCCTTTCTTTCTTCTTTTCTTCCTATTTACCATTAGAGATCATGTTGTGTATGGACTCAAACTATGAACAGTTATTTGTCTGCATTTTTCTATTCCCATGAGAAAACTTTTCAGGAACTTTTCACGTGTGTGTGTGTGTACGTCTTTCTCCCTTCCAGTAATAATGGAGAGGTGCTATGCCAGATTCTTTGGGACTATTACTCTTTGAACAGGGCCAGTTATTTATTGAATATTGGGCAAATGGGTATAGGAGTGAGGGTATGTCACACACCTCCTCTCCAAGTCATATTATCCCTTTGCTGGAGAGCCTGCCCACCCTCACATTTGGGAATGGCAGGAGCCTGATGTGCCATAAGACACATCAGTAAGGTCATAGTCCCCCTAGTCCCAGCCATCATCGCTTCCCCTCCCTCCTGCACCCTCCTCACCAGGGCGACTGGGCCTCTGCAGTGAATGTGTCACTTGAACATGATTTCTCTTTCAACACCTCCTGTTCTGACATTCTGTGGCACCAAACTGGGGCTCATGGGGACATTTCCTCAATTTCTGGTGGCAGAAATCCTTAGATTCCATACCCTTAGGTTGTTACGTAAGCCTCTTAATACTGTGACATTTATTCTTGTAAAATTAAATTTCTACTGTTGGTGTTTAAGAAAGTATAGATTCACTTCCAGTTTCTGCAGTTGTTTTCCTTTAGATTTCACAGTATTTTGCTTGTACGCTCCTTAGCTTGTGGCTTGGGGTTTAGCCATTTGCTCTGTTTCCTTGAACATGGGCATCATCTGTATGTTCTGCATTCTTTCTTGCTTGCAATGAGTTTTGAGGGACAGGTGAAATGTGAAAATGTCCATTCACTACTATCTTTAATAGGAAGAGCTGGTGGCACAGAATTCTGCACTCAGTTTCACTTAAAAATGCCTGTTATTCCAATAAGTTTGGATATTTCAGAGGTGATGGACCTCCTTGTTTTCTCGGCCACAGAATAACATTTTGACCAACTTCTTTTCCCCACTTAATTAACTTTCCCTCACCTAAGAACCCAATGCTTCTGTCTTCACCAAGAAACGGTTTTCTAATTTAATCTGACAGAACATTCCAAGAAAATTTAGCAGGGAATATCTAAAACTTCTCTCTTTTCCATTAGTTAGTACAATAGATGGTTTATCTTTGCACAGTTACTAGGTGTTTGAGTCTTGTGTTTTTAAATTAGCCAAAAGGAAAAGAATCAACTTACATGAAATACTGCACAGTATAAGTAACTTCAGCTCCTTGTAGGCCCTCGGGTGGACTCCACTGTAGGATATTCCTCATGTTAATGGATAAGAAGGTAATATTTGTAGGCTTGGGTAAACCACCAGAGATGCAGAGAACTGAAGAAGGAGTAGAGAAGAATCAAGGTCTTAATGGAGAAAAAGGAAAACACAACCCCTGTGGTAGACAGTCTTCAGACATGGCCCCAATTAGCCGCACCTTCCTGTACTCATGTCCTATTTCCTCCTAAACCTGAGCTGACCCGATGACTCACTTCAACCAATGGAATGTGGCAGAAGTAACTCTGGGACTAAGTCTTAAGAAGGTCTGGCAATTTCTACTTTTGCCCTTTTGAAAGTCCTGAGCTGCAGGGTAAAAACCTGGGCCACTCTGCTGGAGGCCACACAAAGAGGGAAATGTTCAGTTGTCCTAGCTGAGCCCAGCCTTCCAAGCAGGAGGCTGGAATGAAGCCACTGTGCACACTCCAGCCCCATCTGCCATAGACTGAAGCTGCATGAGAGACTCCAAATGAGACCAGAGAAAGAACCATCCAGTTGAGCCCCAGTTAACCCTCAGATTTGTGAGAAATAATAAAGTGATTGTTTTAAACCATTTTGGGTAGTTTGTTAATGCACCAGCAAATAACTGAAATGATCCCCTTATTAAATACAGAAATAAAATTTAGGATAAATGGCCCTGAAAGGCTCAAGTTTTGGAGATTGGTGTTAGAGTGAGCTTTACTAAAGTATATAATAAAGCAATAATTAGAAAAGAAAGCAGTGAAAGAAGACAACATATTTAATCAAATGCTGATATGTTCATGTAACTGTGCTCTAAGAAAATGTATCCTAGAGGATTAATTTGTAGGAAACTTCTGTAGAGAAATGAAAGAATTGAGACACTACCAACAAACTAGAAAAGGACAAAAGGAAAGTGGAGGACAGTTTCTTATAAAAGAAAACAAGGATGATCCTTGAATTAAAATAAATTTTAAAAATCATTGGTAATGTGTAAGAATCAAAATATTAAAATATGGGCGAGACCACAAAGTCCTGGGTTTATAAACATTCAGATTTTATGAAGAACAGATCTCATCATAAAGACACATATTTTAGTCAATGAACTTGGAAAATAAAAAATTTTGATACTGCAAACCAAACTTAGGAAATGAAATTTAGCTAAGTCACCAAAGGCTGGTCTAATTTCAGCTACAGTCCCATAATTCTTGTGTAAATTGGCTGGGGCTAACGTCGGAGAAAGAAATTAGTTTTATCCTTGGGGTAATCCTTGGCTAAGATTAGCTCTATACAATGTATTGTAATTCCACAAACCAAATGAAAAGAGAGAAAACAATTCTTTGCTTTAGAATTAAACTTTGTAATGCAACCCTAATTCCAAGCCAAAATAAGCTCTTTAACATGCAGCAGAGTAACCAAAATATAGATTGCTGAGTGTGTGTTTGGGTATGTGTGCATATGTTATATTTGTGATGGCTCCTACTTTTAACCTTGATCATTTTTTTTAATACCTCAGTTTTATTTTTAAGAAGAAAGTTAAATACTCAAGGAGAAGCACTATCAGCTGATCACTGTGTGGGTATGTGTCTGGTAGGGGCAGAGATCTCAAAAAGACACAGCCTGCCCAATGTCTGTCTTTGATTTTTATCCCTCTAGCTCTCTGGAACCATCGTGTATCAACTGGTATGGGTCTTTTTTTCTGGAGATCATATGCTATGAATAATTATCAGTGATTTAATACTGCTCTGTGCTATCAATAGGTTCTGATTTTTAATGAGAGTTTTGAGGATGAAACTGAGAACATGGGGGAGGCAGAGCTATGAAGCACTATGTTTTCCAACCCTTCAAAAGTGAGGAACGCTTTTAACATAAAAAGTTCCAAGGGTCTTTTCAGATCTAAAACCTGCGGTTTTACATGTTTATATGACACATGCATGTGAAGAGTGGTTAGCATCTTGTAAGAATGAAAATTAAAATAGACTGTGTATTATAATATCACGGATGGAAGATATTACCAAAACATGGCTCCACAGAACTAACTGATAAGAAACTAGAATATTCCGGTGTGTGGCAACTTAAGTTTGGAGATATAAAACACAAGTTATGTTAGATATTGTAGTTCAGAGATATGTTCCAATGTTTAATCTATAAAAATCTTTATCTTCAACACCTCTGATTTCTGTTCATTTTTTTTTTAAAGATTTTATTTATTTATTTTTTTGAGAGACAGAAAGAGAGCATGGTAGTGTGCTCATTGGGGAGGAGTAGAGGGGGGAGAGAGAGGGAAGAGGGGAAAGAATTTCAGGCTGACTCCGCACTGAGGGCGGAGCCTGATGGGGAGTGGGGGCTCTATCTCAAGAGCCTGATATCATGATCTGAGCTGAAACCAAGAGTAGGTTGCTTAAACAACTGAGCCACCCAGGTTCCCCTTCTACTTATTTTTTAATGGAAGTAAACAGTTGACAAAATTCTCAAGATGCCTAAAACATACCCAAAACAGTTTTAAGAAATAACCTGGAATAAAAAAAAAATGGGTTGCTCATTTCAAGTTAAGGTAATTTAATTTTTTTGGTCATTGTTAGGAGGAAATAAAGCAATTTTGCTATTCTGAAATGAACCATGCTCTGGAATGTGCTGTCAATCTTTAATGTTCATTGGTTCAACAGACATCTTGCTTCATGTTTTATAATTGTTTAATGATCCTCTAGAAATGTTATGTCAATTATCAAAATAGGTTAAAGAAAACAGTGTGACAATAACACTAAAACATTAAACATTTTTTTCTCATGTCATTCTATTTTTTGAAAAGAAGATATATTTCACTGGAAACGTGAAATGCATATGCTACCACCTCCAAAAGTCTACGTTATGGGTAAATCATGTGTATCTCCACACTTTGGGTAGCCAGCCTCCAAGATGGCTCTCAATAATCTCCTCCTCCTGGCATTCCCAGCCTGCATATCCTCTCCCACATTGTATCTGGGTTGGTCTCTAAGTTTTAATAGTTTGATTTTATCTTTATAAAAAAAATTAAAAACCCAGTGAGAAGACTGGGAACTTATTAGCCTTTTAATAGCAAGTGGGGATTGCAGTGACAACTTTTTGGATATTTTTTAAAAAGATAAATGCTTAGTTAAACTCATTGTAAATACACGGACAAGGATTCAGAGTAGTAAACACCTTTAATAGAAATACATTTAAAAATGGATATTATGGTTTGGTATACTATTTCTGGGGAAAGAATATTCTAGCTTTTAGTCCTGCAGAGTCTTCTTCTTGGATTGACATTATTTATCTGAATATATAGGCAGAAAAGATATCAGTTTGGGATCATTCCCTTGTCAATAAATCAAAGTATTATCAAGGAGCTTCCCTACCATGAAAAAGGAGGGCATGTTCTGGTATCAGCCCAGCTCTGTCACCCCAGCACACAAAATATCCCTTGTTATGACATAGTTTGCTATTTCTGAACCATTTCTCATCAGAGCAAATTAAGCCATGTAATCTTTCTTCACCTCTTGTCTCTCTGCTTGTATTTCTAGAAATGGATATTCATCAATTGGGGGGGTTGATAGTAATTTATTTACTTTTATCATTTATAATAGTTGTTAATTTTGGAATTTTAATGATTTATCTTTGATCAATGGAAATAGATGTTTCTTAGTACGGTGAGGTTTGACCTTTCTGCAAAGAAGAGTTATATGGACTGCCTGCTCCCTTGGGTTAGTTCTGGTTTCAGTAGGATATGGGAGGTCTTTTGGCATGATTAAAAATTATGCCATTCATGACAGGCTAAGAATAGTAGATACAGTATATGAATAAAAGCCAACTTACATAAGACTTTAAAAATATAATAAATATTGTGAAAACCTTTACATGTTATCATATTTAGTTGAAGTGAGGCAAATGGCTAGCATATAATGAAAAGAGTGGCTAACATTTATTGAATCCTTACCATGTAGCTGACTCAAGTCTATGTGCTGTATACAACTAAATCATACAATTTCCATAACAGCCTTCTGGAAGGTACCTCCATTATCATCTCCATTATACAGATGAGGAAACTGAGGCACAGAGAAGTTGCACAAGTTCACACAGCTAGTGAGCAGAGGAGTTGGGTTCAGAACCCACACTGTTAAACTCCTCACTCACCTGCTACCCTTGCAAACTAATCCTTATCTGAATTTAAACAAAGACAAGACTGATGAAAAAATGCATATTATCCTAGATATTCATATATAAAATCATTTAAGTATTAATAAATATTAGATATTGATGTCATCAGTACCTTTCTTTAGATCCCACCACACCCTGTATTAGGAAACCCTTTTCCTTTTCCTTTCAGAGTATTTTCTTTTATTTTGGCCCATATCTGATCCTGGAGAATGCAAGTAGGAACTCTATTTCTGCTTTGACACAATCCTCAGACAATGTATGGTGACTAGAAAAACAGGAATTTTTAAAAGGATGTGTTTGAGTCTATTCTGGTGTCTTTTTTAGTTGCGGAGTACATGCCTTCTATCAATTTGAAACCATACCAAAACTTAAAGATGTAGAAATAATATATTTTGCCTTGGCCTTGGGCTTTAGCTCTTGGTCTCCCCTACAGAATACACTACAGTCAATCCCATTTATATTAATGAGAAACATCAGTTCAAGAGTCATCTTATTTATCCATTCAACTAATATTTGTTAGGTGCTATTATGAGTTGAATTGTGCCCTCCCCAAAAAAGATATATTGAAGTTCTAATCCCTAGTACCTCAAAATGGTTCCTTACTTGGAAGTGGGGTTGTTGCAAATATAAGTAGTTAAGAGGAGATCATACTGGAGTAAAGAGGACTTCTAATCCAATATGACTGGTGTCCTTTTAAGAAGATGGCCAGATGGGGCGCCTGGGTGGCTCAGTTGGTTAAGCGACTGCCTTCGGCTCAGGTCATGATCCTGGAGTCCCTGGATCGAGTCCCGCATCGGGCTCCCTGCTCGGCGGGGAGTCTGCTTCTCCCTCTGACCCTCCCCCCTCTCATGTGCTTGCTCTCTCTCATTCTCTCTCTCTCAAATAAATAAATAAAATCTTAAAAAAAAAAAAAAAAAGATGGCCAGATGAAGACACAGTGACACAGGAAAAATGCTATTTGAAAATGGGGGATTGGATTCCCTACAAGCCAAGGAATGCCTGGGACTCCCAGAAGTTGGAAGAAGCAAGGAAGTAGCTCCTCTAGAGGCTTCAGAGGGAGCACAGTCCTGCCAACACTTGGATTTTGTACTTCCAGCCTCCAGGACTAGAAGAAAATAAATTTCTTTTGCTTTAAGCCACTCAGCCTGTGGTACTTTGTGAAGGCAGCTCCAGGAAATGAATGTAGGTGCTGCTATATAGATATCTAATGATGAATACAGCTGAGTTCCTGCCCTTCTGGAGTTCCCAGACCAGGAGGAAGACGGACATCGTTAACAAGTAAAAAAATAAACAAACATGTACTTATAAATTTGGTGATTAGGCTATGAAAGGGAATAAGGTTGGAGCAGTGGGCCACAGAACCTACTCAGATAGGGTGTTAGGCGTCAGCTTGGGGTGGGAGGGCAGTGTTCCAGGCAAAGACCCCTGAGATGGAAAAAAAAATCTCATCCAAAAAGACATTTCCTTGGAACTGTCAAAAGGCCAGTGTGTTTGGAAAAAAAAAAAGTGAGGAAGAGGAGAGTGGCCAAGAAGAAATTGAAGAAGTACATAGAGCTGGAGTCCCCATCTCTATAAGCCCTGGGAGGGAATCTGGATTCCATTTGAAATTCAGTGCGAAAGTATTGAAGACCTTTAAATAGGGGATGCCATGAGCCTATTTATATTTCGAATAGATTAATTCATTACTGAGGGGAGAAAGATTGGATGGGGGCAGAAATAGAACTGGAGAGACCAGCAGGACCATAATTACAGCAGTCCTAGCGAGGAAGGATGGGCTTGCACCCCGATGTTGGCTGTGCATATGGAGATGGGTGGGCAGCTCACAGCTCTGTTTTCAAAGTAGAAACAACAGGGCCTCCTGATGAGGCAAAGCAAGAGTCTCAGCAGCAGAATTCCTATATTATGAAAGCTAACAGAGGAAGATTTATCAAGGAATACTCGCCCTTTTATCTGTTTTGATGATGCAAAGGAGTCTTAGAAAATAGAATTAGCACTTTTTTTTAAGGAGAAGAAATAGCACACTTAAAGACAGTTGATAACTAGTATTTTCTCGTGTTTCTTAAACCTTTGTGAAGGTTTTAGGCATTATGTTTGTTTCAAGTTCGGAAAGCATAAAAGAAGACACTCCTGAGTAAACATTTAAATTGAGATAAGTCATTTTTCTAACCTGCCAGTACCGATAAGATAATTCATTCAAAACTGAAGTGAAAATATGTCACACCCACATCGATGTCAGGAGTCATGTGCCAACTTATGAGTAACAAAAGCATTTTTGTTCCCATAGATTTATGGCCCGAAAGGACAGCTCTGATTCTCTGGTAGTCCATCCATTTCACATCCTAAATCATAGAGCTGTTGGATTGGCACACAGAGTTTTATTTCTGGGAATGCTGTAGGATTACAACTTTAGTTTGGAACATGGTCTGGTCTGACCTTTCCTTTTGCAATTCTGCCAAATGCACCATATTCACCAGACACACCAAACTACCTGTGATACCCTAACTTGTTCCACTGTTCTGTGCCTTTACGATTTTGGTGCCCTCCTCCTAAAGCATCTCTTGGAACTAAAAGACCCCTCATTCCTCCGTGTGTGTATCCATGTGTGAATACTGGCTCGGACTATTTTAATGATGTGATGATGCTGTGATGTTACGTAGGGTATGCATGGTCTCCACTAAAGTGCGGGGTGGGGGGCATTCTTGATGACAGTCATCTGGATAAGAGGCTGGTCTTTGAAGAGAAGATGGAACTCAGCAGACCTCAAAAAGGGGTGGGAACTCTGGGCTCCTTTTCAGCTTCCCTGACCAGGTATGGACTTTGAGCAATGGAGGGATACTTAATGGTGCCCCTTGAATTGTGGTTATTTAAGATGGCCTCTGCATTATCAAAGCTGTGAAAGGTCAGTAAGGAGGTGTCTACTTAATGAACTTCCAACTAATGATTGGTTAGCTCTATCTGTAAGCCACATCATTCAGATTTGTGTCTGCTCTCAGTGTTTATTTTCCTTTTGTAATATCTTGGCCTTTGGGGAAGTTTCTAGCTCAACCTCATTTATGTTATACACCATAAGGAGAAAGTCCTGTCTCTGTTCTTGGGTCTTTTTAGTAGGAAGAGAACAGATAAATGACATTTGAAATGGGTAAATCTGTAACAACTTCATTGGTGGAATATTATAAAATGTGGCTACTACATTCGTTCCAAGAGTTACCTTGCATAAATACGGATCTCCAGGTGTAGCAAAATGGTGTGCAACATTTTCCTAGTGGCCTCAAAGCTAATACTACATCCTCTAAGAATGTTGCAGTTTTACTTATATGCCTGACAAAGACATTTCCATTTCATTACACTGTGGGAAAAGCTCATGGATAAATTAGTGCCTAATGTACGCCCATAAAAAGTGGTGAGGTTTTCAGAGTGAACTCACGAAGGGTCAGGGTAATCAGTCTTGAGGTTACCCAAACCTCTGTCTTTGAGTGCTGAGGCAAGTTGATTTTCCTATTATGGACTGTATGTTCATCCACCAGTGAGGAAAACAACCAGGCTGTAAGAGGCTCAACAGTCAAATGTGTCCACGTCTGGTGACTTCCCCTGTGGGGCCCTTCAAGTTTCTCAAGCTCATGACTAACTAGGGAACCTTGGCATAGAGGAAACCCTGCCCAACCTTACCCAGAGAACGTTTCCAGCCCCTTGCCCCTTCTGTCTTTCTGAAGCTAGAGCAGAGTTAAGGAATCACCAGGTTCTGAGCCGTTGGACATTGGGCTCCATGTTTTATAGTCTTTGTATCCCCAGCACGAGGCAAATAAATGCTTTTGAACTGAACTAACCAGGGGCTGGTGGGGCTCACATAAATCATGAAGGCAGGGCAGGATCCAGATACACATGAAGATTGAATGGGGGTGGGAACTGCCTAAACTGCCAAATCTTGGTATCTTGAAACCACCTGGGTCAACTTACATTGTACACACTCAACAGATGCTTTTTAATGAAGGAACAGTAGCCCATGCATGGCAAGTGGCTGCTACATATTGCCAAGTGTCTTTTGAAATAGGAAAATACCTTAATATGATTGTATCAGCTCTTTATTGTGGGAAGGGAGGTTAAAAGAGTTAACAAAAAGCACCAGAGGGTAATGAACCAATTTCAGAAAGCACGAGCTGTACACAACTCATTGTAACCACCAAATGAGAGCCAAATGGTATTGCTGCCTTTAGACTGATTATCTTTGGTCTTGTTCTAACTTCATCATGCTGAAAGGAAAAGCAGATTTTCTTTTGTCTCAGGTTGTAAACTAGTTCTCTTGAAAAATATTAACTCCTCTTTCTCCTCTTTTCTCTAATTATATATCAAGGACCCTTAAAAACTAGTCATCTAAAAACAGCCCTTACAATGTTATTCAGGAACTATTTACCTGAGTCAGGAGGATACCTGACTGAGGCCAAAGAAAAGATACACAGCTGTGTTCTATAAAGGAGAGAGCATGGGTTGGCGTTAACATTAGTTCCTGTAAACTCGATGGTCTTCTCCGAACCTCCATCTCCACAGTTATTTCTCTACTCTCTCTTGGCCCACTCACTGCTGGATGTGTGGGCTGCCTCAATGTTCTCTCTAATGATACTGTCCCTCACACAGGGCTGCCATCTGCCCTCCCTCTCTGGCTTCTAGTAATTGTTTATGTCAGTAGGTCAGAGAGAAGCTCTAAGAACAAGAGTTCCAGAGCCACACTGGAGCCCACTCCCTGCCCTACCACTTAGCATAGCCATGTGCCCTCAAGTCGGTTACTTAACCTTTGTACCTCAATTTCCTCTTTGTAAAATAAAACAATACTACGTGCTCCATAGGATTGATGGGATGATTAAATAAGATTCTTTACATAGACCTCCTGGAACAGTGCCTGGCACAAAGGAAGAGCTCAATCATTGTTCACTTAGTGTTCTCCTCCATAGTTACTATTCTCACTTTACAGATGAATCGATAGAGCCCCAGAGAAGCTGCATGATTTGGCCATGGTTATTCAACCATTTGGAGGATACCTGACTGAGGCCAAGTGTTCTGACTATTGACAGGGCTCCTACAGTAGGATACTCACCTACCGCCTTTAGGAAATGCTCCAAAGAACACTGTTGTGGGAAGAAGGGATTGTATGATCATTATAAATTTTGCATGTGATAGATGATTGATTCTAAGGAGAGATAGAAGAAATGCAACGAGGAAAACCCAAGTATTTCTTCTTCATTGAAGCTTTTCCTGGTGGAACTGTACACAGCCACGTCATTCCTTCAACATAGTTACTGGGCACCTACTGTGTGCTAGAAATAGAAACTGATAGGCACTAGGGGGCAGCAGAAGCCAGAAACACACAGAAGGCTCTGCTGCTCGCATGGAGCCAGCAGATATTGTTTGAATCTGGGACACAATCCATCAATATATGCTTTCCCTGCCAGGAATGTGAACATTTATGTGGATGAGTGATGCATGAGTCATACAGAAAAAGCAGCGCTATTTCTTTATAGCCACACCTCAACAAATAAATTTATGTGCTTAAACATGTTTTTGACTATTGCCGTTGGTACCTAGTAGCAAGCAAGACCTTAAAGTCGAGACTACTTTTTAAAAGAAATATATTGGAGTTTACCCATCAAAGAGAGGGTGCATCTTCCATGTGGTTCCCAGGGGAGGGTTTATAATTATTCCTATGGTACTGCTCAGCTCATGGCATTTGGGGCATGCTTCCTTTCAGCTATAATTGTTATCAGAGGTAGCTTATAAACATGCAAGAAATTCCATCTCTTTTTTTTTACAGCCACACCTTGTTTTTGCCCAACCATAGCCTGATTTCCCAGCTTGATTACCCAAGTTTGTTGGAAATGGCTTGGAATACTTTGAAAATTAAATCATACCTCCAAGATGAAGGTTTGCCGCTTAATGGGCTATTCTGACCAACATGTGCAGGCTCTACTTGGAACTCTGAAAAAAGGAGTTTAAGAAATACATCACGGTGAGATTTTTGTGCATCACCTCCTAAAAGGTCTATTTTGAAGACACCATTATTAACTTGTATATGTCAGCCCCACTGTTAGAAAATCAGTTGTAGGTCAGACGCTTAATGACTGAGCCACCCAGGCGCCCCGCAAAGCCATTTTTTTATTCATATCTCTATCACTTGAAATTTTCAGAGAGAAAGTTAACAAAACAAAAATGTGAGAAAATAATTAATAGAAAAAGTAAGAGAGTTTTAAAAATAATTATTTAGTGGAAAGGAACTGGGAAGTAATTATTTAGGGGCGATTTGGAAGTCATTAATAGTATTTGCTTCTTGTTCATTGTGGACTGGCATTTTGAGGTAAATGAAGTTGATGGTGTGATCACCGTTGTAATCTCAGATTTTCCAGTTGGACAAGACCAAAATGGAAGTGTAGAGTAGCCATCAAAAACACTGTCAGAGGGCACCTGGGTGGCTCAGATGGTTAAGCGTTTGCCTTCGGCTCAGGTCATGATCTCAGGGTCCTGGGATCGAGTCCCGCATCGGGCTTCCTGCTCCTTGGGAGCCTGCTTCTCCCTCTGCCTCTCTCTCTCTGTCTCTCATGAATAAATAAAAAAAATCTTTAAAAAAAAAAAAAAAACAACACTGTCAGAGGGTGCCTGGGTGGCTCAGTCGGTTAAGCGTCTGCCTTCGGCTCAGGTCATGATCCCAGGGTCCTGGGATCGAGTCCCACATTGGGCTCCCGGCTCGGCGGGGAGCCTGCTTCTCCCTCTGACCCTCTCCCCTCTCATGCTGTTTCTCTCTCGCTCGCTCTCTAAAAAATAAATAAATAAAATCTTTAAAACAAACAAACAAAACACTGTCAGAAAGGTAAATGTAATTTTCAGTGGGCTAACTCTCCTCTAGAGTGAAAGTAGAAGCTTTGATGTTTTTGAGGGTGACCAGGACTACGATCAGACCTCTCTGGGGTTGAACTATGCCTTGATGAAGTTGGGTAACTGCATGCAATAAGATGAACAGAAGTCCCACATTCTGCCTGGGCCACACTGAAGATCAGCTCTTTTAGGTCCTTAACTGCCACAAAGATGTAAAAAAGCACGGGTCATTAGAAAAGCAGAGCAACAATGAAGAGGCCATGCACAAAGACGAGTCAAGGGCATTGCTGCGCTGGGCAATGGGCATTGCACCAGCCTTGAAACTTCTCCAGGGACAACTGAGAGAATGGATCAATTAAGACATTCCCTTTGCTCTTGCTCACTAAAGCCAACAGAGTCTTCAAAGGGCTGTGTTGATTAAGGAAGTGGGAAATAGCACCTAGGACACCAGCCTTATCTTGCAAAACCACAGCTGTAACAATTGTGCCTTTTGATAACCGTGTGTGTAGTTTGATTCCGTATTGCAAAAAGCTGCAGACCACAGTGATTCGAGGCTGCCAATGACCATGAAGTCAGGCTGTCCTGTAGCTACCAAGCTCCTTACTCCTGCCCACGTTTTGTTTGCTGATTTGTAGTTTTATAAGAAAGAACTGTAGGTGTGAAAAAGGAATATTAACTACCTGGTAATTTATAGAGAGAATGTGCTTAGAGCAGGATTTGGCTTCACAGGTGTACCTTGGTGACCCTGCAGGCTTGGTCCCTGGCCACTGTACTTAAGTCACCATCACAACAAAGTGAGTCGGATGAATGTTGTGGTTTCCCAGTGAATACAAAAGTTATGTTTACATTATACTGTTGTCTGTTAAATGTGCAACAGCATTATGTCTGAGAAACCAATGTACATAACTTAATTAAAAAATACTTTATTGCTAAAAACTGCTAACCATCCTCTGAGCCTTCTGCAAGTTCATAATCACCGATCACAGATCACTGATAACCAGAACAAATATAATAATGATGAAAAAGTTTGAAATATTGCGAGAATTACCAAACTGTGATACAAAGACAGAAAGTGAGCAAATGCTGCTGAGGACAATGGCGCTGATAGATCTAGCTGCTTGATGCAGGCTTGCCACAAATCTTCAATTTGTGAAAAATGCCATGTTGACAAAGTGCAATAAAATGAAGTATGCCTGTATTTTCCTGCTAATATTTGAAATGAAAAAGAGCAGAATTTATATTAAGTTATAATTGTTTTACATAATAGGGATGACAGCCTACCTATAACTATTTATTAAATTTATGTTTTTTTCCTAAAAGCATTGGAAGTATTTATTCATAGCAAGACATTTAACTTCGATACCTCATTGCTTGTATAATGCATCTTTTCTCCTCAAATAGGGAGAATGTGAAGTGATATATATAAAATTTTATATATATCTAATACCAAATTATATATATACACACACACACACACACACACACACATACCAGCAACTCTTATGAGTCTCAGTTTAGAGGACCCTTTTTATAGGAAGCCCTGGCTGCCTTCTAGATTTGATTGGTTACCTTGTTCTGTGCTTCTAAAGAAGCGTGTTTTTCTCAGTTCTAGCATTTATACTCTAACGTAATTACCTGTCTGTGACTAAAAGCTCTGTGAAGAAAGAGACCTTGTTTTCATGTTCACCTCAATACCTACAACTGTTCCTGATGGATATGAGTGAATGACATTGAATGAATGAAAAGTGCTCAAATCACATTGTGTCAAGGTATATGTTAACTTCTGAAAACTCAAAATGGATGCATGGTGTGTTAAGGTAATTCTTCTTCATTAAATCTGATCACCTCGAGGGCGCCTGGGTGGCTCAGTTGGTTAAATCTGATCACCTCGAATACCTTATTCCCCTAAGCTATTTACTCCTGAAATGCATGTGATATTCTATTTTACACTTAGAAATTATAAGCTAATTTTTAAAATAACGAAGTAGAGCATTTAGTAGATAATTTAGTGGACTTTTTGCAACACACATATTTTAATCTAAAATGGAGGAGGAAGGCTGGCTTGGAATTGGAATGATAGTTAGCCTTAAGTATGAAAATGGTCCTTGCTGGAGCAAGAGCAAGGATTTTGCAGTGAAAGTGCCCCTCATATAAGCCGAGGCAGGAGGTAGGGGTCTGAGGAGAGTGAGCCCCTCTGCTGAAGAAATTTAAACTGTACTGTCTTTATTACACACCATTGATGGCTCTCCCCCCGCCTTTTTTTATTGAGCTAGAATTGACCTATAACATTATATGAGTTTTAGGTTTACAAAATAGTAATTCCATATTTCAATATATTACCCAATAGTCTCTCTTATGTTCATATTATGGAAATTACAAGAGAAGACCTCATCTCCGCCCTCAACATTCTCAGGAGAGACTTTCAGGCATGACACTTCTATGAAAGTTGCCCTTTGACAATGGACATAGACTATAAACATGCTGAGGAGGAGAGCCACCACATGGGGCTGAAAAGGTAGCTTTTCTCCACTTTAGAAGCCAAGCTCATGGATCCTGCCCTATGGGCCTGTGAGGGTATGGTAGGAGTTTTGAATTCAATTGTGCCTCCCAAAAGAAGTATGTTGAAATCCTAACCCCCAGTACCTCATAAAGTAACCTTAATTAGGTATAGCGTCTTTAGAGAGGTAATCAGTTAAAAAGAGGTCACTAGGGTGGGTCCTAATCCAATATGACTGACGTCCTTATAAAAGGGGGAAATTCAGACACAAAGAGAGACATGCACAGAGGGAAGATAATGTGAAGAGACAGGGAGAGCACCATGTGAAGGCAGAGAATTGGAATGAAGATCAACAAACCAAGGGTTGCCAAAGATTGCCAGCAACCACCAGAAGCTAGGAGAGAGGCATGCACAGATGCTCCCTCACAGCCCTCAAAAGGAGTGAACCCTGGGGGCACCTGGGTGGCTCAGTGGTTAAGTGACTGCCTTCGGCTCAGGTCATGATCCCGGAGTCCTGGGATCGAGTCCCGCATCGGGCTCCCTGCTCGGCGGGGAGTCTGCTTCTCCCTCTGACCTTCTCCCTTCTCATGCTCTCTCTCTCAAATAAATAAATAAAATCTTTAAAAAAAAAAAAAAAGGAGTCAACCCTGCCAATATCTTAATTTCAGGCTTCTAGCTTCCAGAACCGTGAGATAATAAATTGATGTTATTTTTAAGCTACCCACTTCGTGGTACTGTGTTACGGCGGCCTCAGAAAACTGATACAGGAGGTGTCTTTTGCTTGCTTGTATCTTTCCTCAAAAATGAACACGGTGTTTACTGAGGAGAACAATGAATGCTTTAAAGGCTGCCGAATCTCCAGAAAGTAAATATGAAGGGATTGACGCAAGAGGCAAAATATCTGCAAAGTTGAGAAGGAGAAAATTTAAATGGGGGAAATAATGTAAACAAACGCTTTAACTAGGACAATGAAGTTGCCAAAAAAACCTCCTATCCCCAAAATACAAACGCAACTGTATGGGCTGGAACTTTGAGGACCCTGGATGAAGAGCATACATGTTGAGATCGAGAAGCATGAGGACAACTTACTGACAAGTCTGTATAGGAAAAAGTATGGAAATTAGAGCCAGTGGCTGTATGGGAGCCATTCTGTGGCTCAATGTGCAACACAGTGACCACCACAGTCCAAAAACAGAACTAGCGTTGAATAGATAATCAGGAAATTTTTTTTCCAGAAAAGAGTATCCTTAATTGCATCACAGACCCAAGCTCTAGATAAAACATTATGCCATACTTCCATCCTTTATCCTTCGAGAAGCAAACGGAAAGAAAACTACCTCCACAAAGTGAAATTGTCTTAATATGAAAGCCTGAGTTGAAATGAGGGTTCAGAGTCTGTGTCTCTTAGGAGAGGACAACAAAGAAAAGGAGGGCAGTGCTTTCAGGCATCAGGGACCCTATGTTCACTGAGAACTTGACGCTGAATCATTTAAGGACAAACAGGCCAGGTGTAGTGCTTGAAATGTTAGTAGACCAGCCATCTCATCATGACCTACAGGGAGGCAGCGTGGGAGCTTGCAGACACACTGGAACACACACATGC